TACACGGCTTCAGTATGTATCGCGGATTCGTAACACCGGAATCTTGTGTAAGCGTGTCGGCAACGAAAATTACGTGTAACTGCTGTTTGAACTGCTGCTGCTACCGCCGCCGCCGCTACTGAATTTGACCGCTTGTCAGCTACTTTCAATTACATGGCCCTGTGCAGCGCGTTCCGCGGTTTGAATTTCGGCGTGAATTCCAGGACGAAGCTATTGATTGAGTCTAGGTAAACGGATTAGCATCGGCAGCAGGAAACGCATCGGCCAAAACGAACACTTTCGCGTCTTTCAACTTCGACACGTGGTTTCTTGTGACTTTACTTGCGTCCCGTTTACGGGCAGAGAGATCCTCGATATTTCAAAGTGATCGGTTTTTCCTTCCAGTTTATGACCCGGTTATCGAGTTTATCTTTCATACATGTAGGTTGTTATGGTAATTACGTTACAAATTGCATTTACCGATTATACGACTAGTTTAGATCTGTTTTCTCCTCTTAGAAAGATCGCTTTGGTGAATTCTATATAAATAACTTTTCCCCGATCGTGTAACGCAATTCTTTTACTTTCGCGCCTCAGCGCCGAATAAATTTTATTCCGATGGAATTATATATTCTTTCGCTTGTCATGGAATTCTTCCATCCGACGTTAAAGAGATTGCAAAGACGGTATCCAACATTCAAAAATAATACAATCTCATCCACAGCGGAATCCTTTTATACGTGGCCTCGAGACGATTCTTTTAAAGCTAAGAGGAAAATATTTCAAGCATAATATTAATTCTCTTTATATATTTTATAAGAGAAATACTCTTTCGGTAAACGTCCTCGTTTGAAATATGGGATTACAAGGGAAATAGCTTCTTGTAGTTTGAGTTGCTTTTTTAGAAATATTTTCCTTTTGGTCTTAAAAGAATACTTTTCAGAGGCCATACATCAGAGAATTCCGTTAAATACGTTTAGCTTAGATCTAGTTTCTCCTGGGAAAATCGTTGGTAAAACCAAATAATTTTCCCCCAAGTGCGTAACGCAATTTTCTTTATTCTTTCCTGAACGTCGAGTAGATTTCACTCAAACGGAATCATGTGGTCTCAAGAGTTCACTTGTGTCAAGATACTTGTATCCAACTTATTAAAAAGGCGGCCTGGTGTCCGACCGCGTCCTCAGCAAGATGATTCGAATCGTTTGATGAGGTTCGCAAGATGCCTTCTTGAGTATCCCATAGAAAACCGCGCATCGAGTTGAATCGGAATGAGCTTTCCGTACCAACCTAGACTGCCTCTCTATAATTACAGAGACTAACGACGCGATTTTGTGCGTGTCGGCGGAAAGCGACGTTGCCGTTGGCGCAACTTCGCGAGATTGATTTTCCGCAATTAGAGAACGGTCTTAACGAGTTTCCGCTGGAACGGAGAGCTTTTTGTCGACCATAGCGCTTGTTCCTCGTCGCGCCGACTACTCGCATGTCTTAATGGATTCCCTTAATATTTTCCGAAAAGATTGCAATGCTCTCACTCGGCTTGATCAACGACGCCCGTCGTCGTTTGACATGGGTCGGAGAAGAGCAGAAGGAAAGGAAAGGGAGGTTTCGAGAGAGGGGTAGAGGAGGAGTTGGCGGAGGCTTTTTGAAGTTCGCCCTCTTTATTAAAAGCCTGATTTTCTTCCGGTCATTTAGTCCCAGTGGCGGGAGAACGTGGGAAAAAAGACATCTCCCCTCAAAAGGTAGTTCATAAACGACGACAAAAAATGGCAAACGACCTGAATAACAAACTGTTCAAAGGGGATATCTTTAATAAGTAACGCGGAATAAACGTCCCCATCCCGCTCTCTTATTCTCTCTCAGTCTTTCTTTCTTCAGCATTTAAGACGCGGCTCGCGAGCTAATTAAAAGCCCGTCGCGGCTAAATCGCGATCCCCGGTTAATTGCGCGATTGTAATTACGCGCGCCGCACGCGACGCTCGGTGCATCCGGAAGCGGATTATATTAAAAAATGCTCGCGTCAAAGAGAGTCGCGCCTGTTAATTAATTTCTTCTCGACCGTTATCGCGGATTAGGATTAGGTCAAGCATACGTCTGTTCGGGAGAGAACTCGCGTTCTTTTCACGCCGCCGTGCCGTAATAGCACGCGATCATTTCCGGCGAGATTATCGCCGCCGCTGCTACCTTTTCGATGCCCGCTTGTATAAACGCGCGTTGTTCTCTCATTTCGCGAGATTCGCGGATTCGCACTTTGCTAAAAATATTGCGAGAGGTGTCGCGGATTTCAACAGAATTTTGATGGCTTGACACGTTCGAGCATTCGATATTTCGCGAATAGTCGAAAGCGCTCGTTAGATTCTCTGCATCACTGATTACGAAGGGTTTCTGCGTTCCTGAATCGCTGCTCAACGCTTATGCTTGCGGGGGGAGGTGTGTGTGTGTGTGTGTGTGAGAGAGAGAAAGCCGCGTGCTTGTGAATCGTTCCCATATACGTCAATCAAGTCAGTGCTGAATTCGCATTAGCATTAAACGCACACGCAGCACGCAACACGCACGCCCCTGCTTTAGATATCTACACATCAGCATCGTTCATGCAAGTATTTCCGCGTGCGTTCATGGCTAATTGGCCGAAAGCAACAAAATTCGCACACAAATGTATTGGGTTGATGTGCAAACACGATAAGAGATGATCGGGTCAAAGACCTGATATTCGCGCATCACGGATCAAGGAATATGCTGAACCGCATTTAGCTAATAACTAATTACTTCAATCTATACCCTCGACGTTATACTATTTTACTAAATAATGATTTAATAGCTATACGAAAAAAAAAATGTTGTTGCAAGAATCTGTGTGTGGTAGTCGAGTCTTATTGTGACATATGACTATCTGAAAGTATAGTTATCAATAGGCATATATTTAGCTACGAAACCGGTGTAGTAATAACGGCAAAAGTTTTAGTTACATCAGATGAAGATTTTATCTGCAGAAGCAGATACGTTTTCAGCAGACTACGATGCGACAGTAAAATCTTTTTTTTCCGCGAGTAGAAATTCACGTAACCTCCTTTGAATATTTTGATACTAATCATACATTAAATTTCGATATGTTATGTTTTGTCGTCGGAAAATTTTACGAAAATTTGCAGTCATCTGGAAATTTCCCTTCTCGTTCAGTTTCTCTGTGTTACTTCACGTCGTATGAAACATCGCGTTTCGTACGGCTCATTCACGGGAGTTAGTCATGAAGAGGTGAAATCGCAATGTCTCTCTTGATAGCTGGCGAGACAATCGCCGCGAGTGTTTGCATGCCGCACTCAATTACGTTCTCGAGCCAATACATGCGGACGACGCGGAGCGCCGCCGCTTTTACATCGCCTGTGTACATTTCTCTCCCCTCTCTCTTTCTCTCTCTTTCTCTGTCTCTCTGTTTCTCTCTGTGCATGTCGCATATCTATAGCGTACACTGTATCCGATTGCAAAGACCACGCACCTCGCGACCACAAGACCACTCGGCGATGATTATTTGCTTGTTCCTAGCACTCACCGACCACGTCGGCTAACGAATGGCGAGTGAACGAGCCGACTTTTAATTATTCAACCTGCGACGCACTACAAAACGCCCGCTGGTGGCTGTGCAATCTCGTAGTCGTCATGACCGTCGGTCTCGGTCGCGTCGTCATCGTCGTTGCGTCGCTAAACCGTGTCCCAGGGTAAACTCTCGCACGTGTTTCCGCACATTAGCACGTACACCATCTCCCGGTACGTGGTGCCGCGCGGGTGGCTCACACTCGAGAAGCCGCCACCCGTGCGATTATCCTGGATCACTGACTATGAACCGACAATTAGTGGCGCGAGACTGAACGCGCGACTGCGATCAGACACGCGCGATGTCCCCAAACTGGCAGCCCGCGACAATTCTCCGCGAGTGTTTCCGCAACTTCCAAGTTGGCGCGGCTGCTGCGGCGGCTCGGTCGAACTGACATCTCCGCCCGCGTAATTACTCCAGATCGCGCCATGAACGACAGCCGGGGCCACGCGAGAGAGTAAACGTTATGTAACTTTGTACGATCTTGCACTATGTAACGCCACGAAAATCTCGACGCTGAAGTTACGGGAGGCGAATGCGAATCTTGGCGTCGGTATGTAACTCGGGATGCAGATTTCAGACACAATGGACGCGCAATTAAATGTTTGATTTTACGTATCAAGGATGATGAACTTGAAAAAAGTTCGTCGGAGTGATAATGAGCGACTCGTGTTTCCATCTCTCAGTTTGCTCGTGCACGCAAGTTCGATAAATTCGAGTAATCGCGAACGATTGGTACAATTGAGAAAGACCTTCTCTCATCGTGCATTCTTCTTCGAAGCTCGAGATGATATCGCGAGAGGTGAATGTTCAATTGGAGTGAACCATATTTCGGCTCCAATTAGTGTTTTCGAATTTCCTACGGGCACGTTCCTCTCATTAATTCGTAATGCAAGACTGGCCGCGGTGATTAGAGGTAGACGACTGCGAAAAAGCTCGGCTCACTCGGTCCGCGACCGTTCTCGAAGTTCAACACGGCGTAATGGAGTCGGGTTTTCTTGTGCGGGGCTCGCCGCAGAATACGTTTGCTTTTATAAAACACCGTCGTCTATACAGGTACCCCTCCGCGGGTGTTAATGGCATCATAAGTGTGCTAATTGCGAAAAGGAAAGGGCCGCGAGCGCGCGCGCGGAACTTCATCAGCGGCGCTTGATTACGAAGATTAGCCTTGGCGCGCGGCACTAGCATTAATTTCGGCGGCGCGATAAGTTTTCCGGATGAGCGTGAAAATGGCGAGACTGTATCAGATTTCATCGCTGACATTCAATTACGCAGATTAGCCCCGCAGGCGCGCGCACGCGTTATCTCGAACATTTCCGCAAGAACGCGGTAAGTTGTCGACGATGTGGGCGATGTCTCGGGGATCATACCGGGCGACTTAACCCGCTCGCCAACGCTCGGGGACAAGATTTTACGCGGAATAGCAACAACGTACCTTGGCTGACCGCGATCGCCTCGATAACCAGCAGAAAACCAGCGAGTACCAGGACGGCGAGCCAGCGACACAGCATTTTTAACACCTCGACTCGATCGCGCGCTGCACTACCGATCCTTGCTTGTTTAATCTTGTTTCGATCTTTTTGTTTTTTACTCACTACGATGAGCACGACTTGTGCTCATCAATCTCCCTGTGTCGTTATCCGCGCACTGTACGACGTGTCCTCACTATAATGATATCTTCGGGAATCCGCTTTCTTCGCGAGTTGTTCGAGAATCGAGAACAGTGAGTGCCCTCCTCGAGATGCAGCGTGAACACGACGCTTTGACGATTTGTGGTCACTCTCTCAAAGAACCTGTTCCTTACTTGCACTACGAGCGACTCCCCGACTTGAACGTACACACCTAGACACCCCGACACGGAAATCCCCACTGCACCACGATTAACACCTCAGGGAGATTAATCATCCACTGCTGTCGGCGCGAGTTCTCGCTAAAACGCTCGACCCTGAGTTTCTGAAAGTTAGCCGAGCGAAGAAGAACGCGGTTAGATATTCAACGCTACCCTGCGCGATAGAGATCCACGGGGTGGCGAGGGATTGCGCGTGATCGCGTATCAATCGTGAATCCTTCCTTTGTTTGATTATCTCCCTCTCTTTTCTCTCGAGTTCACGGTGATCTGTGGTGATCGAACACCGGCTCCTTCGGACTCCTTCACGGCTGCTCTCGCGTGACCGAGCTACGGTTGGCTCCGATGACACCCACGCTCACGTGGAGCCCTCGTCTGGAGCGTCGCGACGCGCGACCCGCGAATAGTCAGTCTCAGGGGCAGCATCTTCCGGCCGGGACCAGCGCGGTGGCGGTCGCATTCGGTCGCGGTCCTCCGGTAGACTAGCCGATTAACTCGCGAGACCCTGTCGGACGGTCGTCATCGTACGGACCACGTCAACTTCTCGCGTCGTCGTCGTCGTCGTCACCTTTCGCCGTCGCCGTCGTCGTCGTCGTCCCGCGCGACGACGATGAACCCGCATGGACCAGCAGCCGCCGACGCGGATGAGGCCTGCCGCTCGGCGTCGCGGCGCGAAATGATCCTGCGGGGGAGACTTTCCTCGGCGCGCCTGCGCGATGACTTTGCTGCGTTCGCCGCGGATAAAGCGCGGACCGGTTACGCGCAGACCGCTGCTCCTCTCTTCTCTCTTCTCTCTGTGCTTCCGCACACCCTCTGTGCGATTCTCTCTTCCCCCTAGCGTGACGCGACCGCCGGGGTGACCGCCGCGAGAGATCGGGGGTGCACCGGAGCGCACCCGTCGCTCGTTCGTCCGTCGAGAGGGGCCCGTCTTGTTGTCGACCCCGCGCGTTTGCCTCCGGACACTTCCGCCGGAGAATTATGATGGTGTCGCCGTTGACGGATCGGCGAACTTTGCCTGCATTAGATGTCGGTTATTGTTGCCTGTCGTGGCTCTTCCTCGCGGCCGTGCACGGCCAACGCGAGATCCACAACGGTCTAATTTCCTCGCCCGCCTTGTTTCGCGAGAGAATTCGCGCTCGTGAAATGTGAACGACGTACGAAACAGCCATGAAGACTTGGTACAATGCGTAACCGCTGGATTGCGAATATTGCGAGTACGATTTGCAGTTGGCGAAACTGTTTATGTCGAGTAAAAAAAGTAAAGTGGAAATAACTTTCCTTCTCTCTATATATCTATCTATCTCTTTCTCTCTCTCTCTCTCTCTCTCTCTCTCTCTCTCTCTCTCTCTCTCTCTCTCTCTCTCTCTCTCTCTCTCTCTCTCTCTCTCTCTCTCTCTCTCTCTCTCTCTCTCTCTCTCTCTCTCTCTCTCTCTCTCTCTCTCTCTCTCTCTCTCTCTCTCTCTCTCTCTCTCTCTCTCTCTCTCTCTCTCTCTCTCTCTCTCTCTCTCTCTCTCTCTCTCTCTCTCTCTCTCTCTCTCTCTCTCTCTCTCGTTGAAATGCATTCGTTCGTTATATCACTCGGCGGATCTGATCGATATATGTTAACAGGACGCCTCGCTCACCCTCAAAGTTGATAATTGCTCGCGCCTGCATCATGGACGATTGAACTCCGGCAAGACTCGGCGAGTATTGCCAAACTGCAGCGCATTGCTAGCGACGCGTAACGCGTTCCTGTTTACAGAAACTTATCGACGTGAATACCGTTGCCAAGTATGCGCCGCAAAGGCCCGCCTCTGTCGACAATAACCGCCGTTAATGTCGGTGTGCCGGGTAGAAACCCTCAGCGCACTACACACTGTATCGATGTGTATTCGCTCACAGGGCCCGTGATCTATGAGTTCTTTATCCAAAGCTCCGCGGAGTCCATGGATCGGTGGAGATCCGCGGAATTACGGGCTAATAGCTTCTCTATTGAACGAGCTTTCAAATGACGGATTTGTGAGGTTATACAACTAACTTTTGCGAGGTTTTCTGCGCTTCATATATCGCGGTTTATTTACGCTCCGTTGATCTGAGCTGGATGTATAGAGATGTATACAGAAAGACCCTCGGATGGTGGTGGTGAAATATCCGATCGACTTTCCCAGATGCACACGAACAGATTTCCACGCGATCAGCGAAATTTGCTCGAGTAGCTGTAATTGTATCCGTGATCGGTATAATGGTAGAGAGATGTCATTAGTGAAAAATGGCGAGGAACGACGAAGCAACAGATATTAGTCGTCAGTCGTGGTCGCGCAGCGTTACCGACTTTCAGTACGAGTTATGACGTTCGGTTGTAATAGCTTTCTGACTTTCAAAGGTAATTTACTATCGAGGCGCGCGTATATTTATCGATGAGTTCGTGGAGAGTTAATCGAAATTTCGCAACGGGGAAACCCGACGTTGATGAAACTATTCATGCAATGTCGGCTCCGCTCAAATGGGGTTTTGGCTTTCTTTCGGCCGGTCCACGTCGGACTGGTGCCACTTCGGTTAGTATATAGAACGAGCTTTGCCGACCGGCTTCATGGGCGCCATCGAAACGTATAAGCGGGCTTTCGCGATTCCACGTAAAAGGATATGTGTGGTAGCGCCGTGCTTTCAGACGGGATGGATTGATCGGAGGGATCTAGAGCAAAATGTTCCGCCTGTTACACGTCTATACGTGCCGTCTAGTATACTGACGGTGTTGTTACCTTCGTTGTATAACTGGTATTTGTTCGTGCCCACAATTACTATACTAAATACGCCGTGTTAATGGCAGAAATCCCGCTTTTATCTTATTGCGGGAATATGTCGGAGAATAAGCGAACATGGATCTGAATGCGAATTGAGCTCCACGCGATTCGCATCAAGTTTTAACAGGGTTTGAACCTTTTTTATTGTGGATGCGAAACGCATCAAATAAGAGAACTTTTGGGAATTGTGTAGAAACTTTCTCACTAAAGATATATTGCCATGCAAAATGTAACTGAAAATTAGAGAAATATACTAAAATTTCTATTTTTTGTATAAAAATATATGAAACATATATATATATATATATATATATATATATATATATATATATATATATATATATGATATATTTTTTATA